GCACATTGGCCTAACTTCGCAACCAATACTAAATAAGTCAGCCACCAAGCTCAGAAAATGCTCCATCAACTAAAATAACACCTTTGATCCAAATAAAGCTTGTTTCCACTTAATACTAGAGAGTCAATGACGCGCGTAGACAGGAACGAAATCAGTTTCGAAATCTTTCGCAAAAAAACCAAAAGCCAAAAGGCCACGATTTTTTCCATGCCCATATTTTCATGACAATTTGCTTTCAGTTAGAACATTCATAACGACGTTTAGTTTTTAGTCGGACACTCTGTGAATGGGAGAAAGGAAGGTGGGAACAATTACTGGTAAGAATAGAAATTTATATGCTCAACACATAGCAGACCACGAGAGTTTTTTTTCATAAAATCATAATTTTTCGATAATTACAACAGAAAACCCGAGGAACTCAAAACTTAACACCCTCATAGAAGAAACATCATCTATTGCTCTGAGTGCATATTTTACTACACGTCCGCTTATTCCACAGAATAACGATCAATACCCCTCAATTCATGCCATTCATTATAAGCTGAAATAATGAAGTGACGCTGGGTGCCAGCTAATGAAATACTGACTGCTATAGGACGCATTGCCTGCCTAAAGTAGACCACATTGGATGGATGCAATTAATCCACCCCTGTTTCGTATAAAAAAGCACCGCCGAGTGAAGTGAACCATTCGAGCGGTGGTCCCTCCACTGGTTTCGACTCGATATGACAACAAGCAACCATGTCGCGCAGATGACCAACTGTGGAACATCGACTCGAATAAACGCCGCAATGAAGATGGCGAATACGCTAAAACGTTAGCCGAATAGAAGTTCCTATACCAACCTTGTATTATCTCAACCATACAGAAAAACTTAGCCATTTGTTTAACACAATGGCGACCATAACTGATTCCATGGAGGTAAAAAAGGGAAAGTGTTCAAAAGAAGTTTCTGTAAATTACTAATTATAGAAAACAGCTTTTCATGAGTCACTCCCAATATTGGATTAATGTTTACCAAATTATCGATGGAATATAGAAGGTGGGGTAGAAAAAAACCTCTGTACACCACTGAACAGCCTACAGACTGGAAAAAAGAATACAGACTGAAGTTATTCGTATTGTGCCGGAAAGGAACAGAATTACGATGCATGCGTCAGTGAGCTCTTTAATACTGACGATATGACCAAATCGGTAGTGATTAGACCCAACCACGATTGAACTGCAGGAAGGGAGACATCTGTACACTAATAATTTGTATAAGTGTTCCAGATGGGTGAGAACTTAACCCAAAAAAAGGACCTACGTGACTGGCACCAACAGAAAGAACGGCTTTACGAATAGAAATCAATAATCTTCTATATGCCTGAGCTCACACCAGGTTCGTGTAACACTTTTATTCGGCTGACGTTTCGGCACCTTCGCCTCCTTCAGAGCGTTGTTTCGAACCAATGGCTCACGTCTGGTCGATGTCCCGATGTGATTCTTTGTTGTGGCATGGCGTTTAAAACACTGCCACGCTACGTGCCAGCAAATGAAGTACTGACTGCTGCAGTAACCTAATGCGGCTCTGAAAAAGGCGAACACTCCGAAATGTTAGCCGAATGGTTTTGTATCAAACTCGTGTCAACTCAATTATGTACAAACCTACTGATTATTTTTGTAGGTTAACGAAAGTTGAGTTTTTAAGATAATAACAATACGATACTTATTAGTATGATACATACGAAGATCAACCTTATACTCACAAACAGGATATGATTTATGTTTAACATACCCACACTCCAATCATTCCATCTGGGCGTGATCGCCGCCTTCTTAGTGCGAAGACTTGGATCAACCGAAAGGTGAGAAAAAAATCCAGTAATCAAACGAGAAGAAAAATCAATTTGTATATGATGAGAATGTTCTCAACAAAATATCTACAGGCAGATGAAGAATGTCCCAATCGTGCGCTGCGAACTGCTTGCAAAATGACTTAAAACTTTTACCAAATTCGCCTCCCTTCCTCAAACAAGAAGTTCAGATCGATTCTCAACGCTATTGCCATACACTTCACACCGCTTACAATAAATATCGACTACAGAAGAACTTTGCAAGAGGATATGCATTGGTTCTAGGAAAAAAACTGTTGGAAGTAAAGCAAAAATGAACCAATTTGAAAAAGTATTGTCGGAACCTCTGTGAACATAATATCCGGGTCTAAGTACTGATGAAAAGAAATAGGTACGGACCTCAATGGTATGGATAAGGACATGATATGGAAATGGCAAAGAAAAAGGTTTACACCAGCCTTTTCTGCTGTACAATCATCGTGGTAGAGCATCCAATCCCCGCTTGAGAAAAACACCCAAGACTTTTCCCTCTGAAGTTCAGATTGCGATGAAAAGCATGAAGCAAGGAGCAGCTCCCAAGACCAACAATACCACAGCTGATTTTCTTGCAGCTGGAGGCCACAAACTACATGTACACAACTCAAATGATATCCACCTTTCAAAAGAAAAAAAACGCCGATGACCGAAGGACGTCGGGTTCTGTCATCGTGCACAACCAGAGTGACCAAAAAGATCTTCGAAGGGTTCGATATGCGTGTTGAGTATATTTTGAAAGACCATCCTATCGCGCATTGAATGAGAGACCAACAGTTGCGCAAGCAGGAATGAGTTCTTCTGCTGGATTGACCATATTCAAACCTTGTTGTACGTCATGGAAGTCGGTCGGGAATACCGCCTACCAGTATTCCTGACTCTTCTCGACTATGTAAAAGGGTTTGACAGCGTCGAAACGAATGCAATCCTTTTAGTGAGGTAGTCATAATGAGTTATTATTCCATCATAACAATGGTTTACCTAAATCCCGATCGAACCTCAGTGTACAAATAAGGATATCATTGTGTCCTTCCCCAAGCAACACTCTCTCTGAAGGGCATCATATTATACCAGAGAGGACGTTCTCCTTGCAAGCAAACGAACTCGCAGGAAAACGTCCTTGCAAAAAAGTGTCAAAAACTGTAACAGTTCGCAACTGACGCTTGATGGAACGTCTGCGCCAAAAGAAATCAACGGAGGGTGAATAAATGCAAGTGATCTTATACAAGGTAATACTTGCTCCTATTTATGAAGTAATTCCAACTCAAGTCACAACCAATGCATTAAAACGTATGCCAGTTCTGGAATGGTAACTCTTTCGGATAACAGAGCACGATTGAACAAAACGTCTCTATAAGAATAATGCATATATTTTTAACTATGCACAAGGTAAAATCAAGACTAT